AAAAAAAAAAAAAAAAATTTTTTCTGCTTCTTTTTAAAAAAAGGAGACAGCTGTGAAGTTATGAAAGGGGAGAACATTAAAAATATTAAGCTGCTGGGGGAGGGAACAAGAAAGAGTCATCGCAATCAGCCATCTGACAAAAAAAAAAAAAAAAAAAAAAAAAAAGAAAAAATCATCTGTCCCAACTTCTTTGGAATATGGAAACTGAGGTCCTTAGAGGTAACTTGTTTAAAGTTAAGGCCAGTTGGTAGTGGACTAGGACAAACACTTCATGTATTCCACGGGGTCAGTATCTTAGAGAAAATCCATAGAGAGAGGGGAGCCCAAAGGAGGAAAATCTCTTGAGCCCAGAGGTTTAAGGCCAGCCTGGGCAATATAGCAAGACCCACCCTCCCTACCAAAAAAAAAAAAAAAATCCATAGACAAGATGTCTATGGATGGGACTATGTCCCATCATAGTCACTTAGTCGATTTGAAAATTTGGGGGTGTATATTCACTGTGTCACTTACACACATGTACTGAGTACTGTGCTGGATGCTGGAGACACAGGAAAAATGTGGCAGCTCATGGTACCTCTCTGCATGGAGCTGACATTTCTGGGTTGTGGCCACAGTTTTTGATGGCATTCCATTTTGAAATTCCACATGGATTTAATGGATAATTTCACAGCATTAAAGACCCACAATTACACCACTCTTTCCCTCAGATCCTCTCATGACATTTCTGTCAGGACAAATAAAACAAGAAGGATACAAGAGGCTTCCTTTTTGAGTGGAAGATCCCAGGCCCTGTGGCACTGCCAAGGGTGGCCGCATGCAGGCCACCTGCCTGATTTTAACACTAAGCTTCCTGTGATAAATTCAAATGCTCCTGAATAAATCTAATCTAAGAACTCCCTCAGGAGGGTCTGAGGAAATTGCACAGGTAAGTGTCAGTCCGACTTACGGATACAGACCTGCTAGCATCCAGAGGATGGAGCAGAGAGGTCCTTCCCCATGGGAATCTCAGTTCACTCTATGCATGTCCTCCACCTTTTGAAGAGGGCCACCAGGGCCTTTCTTCTGATTCCTTCCTTTGCTATGTCACTCTCCTGGTTTGTAAAGTGGACTCAAGACTGTTTGTCTTTAACCCGTTTTAGGAGTCTGCAGTGCCTTTGGAGTCTGAAGACAGTCTGGTCTGTATGTCCACAGAAAATGCTGGGGCTCAACATTCCGAGCTATGATTTTACCCAAAATCATGATTAAATGTCAGTTATACCTAGAATATGGGGTAGATGTTTCAGATTTTAACCTTCTCCAACTGGTCAAAGTCATAGGACATGGTGTTTAGTAACATTAAAAATTAAAAAGTCTTAAAAAGAAGAAATTATACCTTCAGCCAATATGTTAGACTTTAAGAAGATTTCTTCATTTGGGGTGGAAGCTCCTTTCATAAGAAATTTCCCTGAGAATTTAAAATTCCTAAAGTCTTGAATGAAGACAGACTGAACTGTATACCTAAAAATGGCAGGGTGAATACAGTGGCTCACACCCATAGTCCCAGCACTTTTGGAGGCTGACTTAAGCCTGGGAGTTGGAGGTTGCAGTGAGCTATGATCACGTCCCACACTCTAGCCTGGGTGACAGAGTGAGACTCTCTCAAAAAACAAAACAAAAAATGAATTTTATCTCATGTTTTACCACAAAAATATTAATAATAAACAGAAGAGGGAAGGCAGGTTTAGGACTGATTTTGAGATTAAACATGAAGACTGGTATGTTATCTGATACTTCCTGGTTTGGGCTAGAGGCTAGCCCCTTGGAAGACACTCTAGGCATCCTGAGTACCATCACCCTGTGGAGAGGGACACTTGTAAAAAGCCACGGTGCAAATCTAGCATACACCTGGGCTGCTGGAGTGGGGAACAACAAAGTTAGAAAGATGATGAGGGCCGGGGTTGCTGAGCTGCATCACAAGACCTTCTGCCCTCTGGGCTGACATGGACAGGAAGTGCCGCTGGATGGAGCTGTTGAGGACAGGGTGAACTCAGACAGGGAACTAATCTTAACACAGTGTTGGCTTCTTCACAGAGGCAGCTGGCGTGATGGCAGAACTACAGCTCTGGGGCTCCAGCCTTGGGCTGGGGACCAGCTCTACCCCCACTCCCTAATCTGGAGCCCCCTGGAGCCTATACATCCTAAAGACAGGCTTGTTGTTGTGAAAAGCAGATGACTTCTCTTTTATACAGTGTCAAGCACAGCGATAACAGTAG